ATTTTTCATTGCTAAAATCCAATTTGTGGATACCCACTATTTTAAACATCTACCTCACTAATTGCAAAATCTATAGGAAAGTCCTTACAACATCAAAGACTCACTTGATCCTCAGAGCTATTATAAATTGACAACTGTCTCTGTTACAGGCAAATAAGGCACTTAATGCACTCTTTCTGGCTGTGATGCTATTTTTCCTGTGGGTTTTGAAAATGACCTTCCTGTAAGCATCAAGGACTGTAACTTTTCAGATAAAGAAACTCGTTCTTGTTTTAAGTCTATGCCAGGTTCATTCCCCTATAGCCCACAGTTTTCAAAAGCAGAAGAAAAAGTAATCCAGAATTAAAAAAATAAAAAGCCCTCTGTTTCCAGAACGAAGTTACCCTGTCAGCTTGCCTTGGGCCTTAGGTGGAGAAGTGGAGATTAAAGAGTCAGTATTCCTTTTCATGTTTCATCTGCCAGTTTTGTGAATGTAGAAAGAGTACTTGTGGCTGCAGCTAAGTATCTGACTGTAGTATTAAGTACAGCAATTTCATCCTCATGCAGTAAATTAAAAATATTCTTATAAGTTTACCGTGAGAGGAGTTCAGTATCAATACCATCCAGTCATTGATAAAGGTATTTCAAGGAGAAGGGTGAATAGCACAGCAGATGTAACCTCAATATTTTCACCAATTATAAAGAGCCTCTTTGTGAAGCTGTGTGAATATGTAAGATGATCTCATCATTTCCTATTTACTCAATACTTACCTGAATACGCAATATAGTGTAGCTTTTAAATGCATATGCACATGAGTAAAATGTCCTTTTGTAAGAGACTTTGCTAAAAGACTGCTTTTGATACACAATTTCTTCATCTCCTCTTCAAACTGAATTAAGCTACTTCCTTCTTTTAAAACACAACTCACTATTTAGAAGCTTTGGCTTTGATTTCCCAGAACAGCCTTACAGGAAGAAACTATGTTCCTTTTCTATTTGTAACCATATTTTTGAAGACAAACTTGTACTGATTTATTTTAATTTTCTAACAGAAATAGGTTCCTGCAAAGAACACTGACTGTTTCTTCTTTTTCCCCCTCCTTCACTCCACCACTACAAGAATATTGCTGTGCACAAAGCTACCAAGGAAAACTGAAATCCCTCTGTTGGGAACTGTGTACACAGCAATATATTCATACTTAGAGAAATAAGTGAGGGTTTTTTTTATTTCTTAGCATGACATACTGTGCACTTCTTGCATGCCAACCACTGAATTCAAATTGAGGAACTAGGTAACATTTCAGCAAATTTTAATCAGGTTTACCATCCACCATTTTAGGGAATATATCTGTGCAGCTGACATAAAGGTCACCAATTTTAACACATTAACCCTCAGTTAGTGCCTTTGATTAAAGGGTTTGTGTATATGTGTGTTTGTGTGTGTGTGTGTGTATATATATATATCTATATATATCTATATATATATATCTATATATATCTATATATATATATATCTATATATATATATATATAATTATATAACCCGATCATGCTTAATCCCATCACATGAGCCATCCCACCAATCGGTCACAAGTCTCACCTTGTCTGCCATACTGGGTACTCCATGTATAGCATAAATAGAAATATAAAATGATTTGCACTGCTCAGTGAGTGAGGGACTTGCCTGAAAACAAAACATCCTGAAAATTCAGGATGTAATCTACATGGCAGTAAATTTACATTCAGTTTATGCTAAAGTGAAATGCATGGTCTGTTGCTAGTTAGAAAACATATCTTCACAATCAGAGCTTAGTGAGTCTTTGCTTTCATTTCTTCTCAAAATCAGGAACTTTATTAATGGACTCTCTGTACCTGCAAACTGAAGATCTTTAAAATGAAACTGGGCTTTATTCAGTAAAACTAGTTAACAATAAACTGGATAAATTTTCCTCCCTATTGCCTCCTTCTAATTGGTTTGGGGTTTTTTTGCCTCAAAATTCTCATCTGATTTCTAAGTTGCAGGTTGGCAATGCCAGCAGTTAAAAAATACTGTAAATTAGAAGACAATTCAAATTTTTTTCATTATCATTTTCTTTCATCACATTTAGAAATGTCTTTTCAAGGTATACTGGGAATTTTCAGAACTGAGTTGGGGGTGCCTAGTGCACTCTCACAGGAGGTAACAACCAGATTTAGCAGCACAGTGCAGCTTGCCTGCCAAAAAATCTCTTTATAGAGAGAATTTTTATATTGAATCATGGGACTTCCTTTAGAGCATGGGCCACAAATCTCTTATATGAAATGTGCTTTAGACAGACGCGGCAAGGAAAATTCTGTGTATCTGGTAATATATCTAAGCTGGCCAAAAATAGAGTGGGAATTTGCAGGTAGATGAACTTCACGGAAAGTTCATTTTTAATACAGTATTTCAGACATTCTTTGGATGTATTCTTTGTACTTGGGAGCCTGAACTCTGAGTGTGGATGGTTTGTATATAGCTCTGATGCACAGAATTCTCATTCTTGAGAAAGCAGGCATCTTTTCCTCTTTTCCACAGCTTTGAAATGAATGCTCTGTGTCCATGACACAGACTTTTCCAGTGGTGCAACAGCCAATGTAAAAATTACTGGAGGATGAAGGAATTGTCTAGGATGACCAAAAAAGCTGGAGAATCTGGGACCTTGTGACAATCACTATGCATAACTGCAGTGTGCCCTTCAGCCACTGGCTAGTGACTCACCTGGTACTTTGATTTTCAAATGTGTATGTGGACAGTTGTCCTTTGGCATCTGTGTAGCACGGTAAACTCCTTAGATAAAAACTGTTCCAAGAAAGACACCAGTGTATTTAGTAGGTACAAGTGCAGATAGATTTTACTAGTTCCTGCACTCAGCTGTGGGCATTCGTGTTTCCAGAAGAAAGATGGTATCACTCCACACTTGTGTGCACATCAGTTTTACACTCAGCTGTAAGCAGAGTATTTTGAATGTCCTGTTTTACTGAAATGGAAATGCTTACCATAATCAAAACTTACAGCAATGATTTTCTTCCCTTTTTCTTCATAACTGATAAAGTTGGGCTAATTTATGTGAGATTGTTTTCTAAAGTGGCTTACAACATTGGTTTGACAGAAATGCTGGGTAGTCAGTTGTTCAAGTTTTATCTTTATTCTGCTGTATAATGAGGTTTTGAAGACAATGAATTATCATAGTAGAATATTTAGAGCTTGAAATACAAAAGTCAAAATTTAGGGAAATATTGATGTCTGCTAGGAACAAACTTAGTTCACTAGAGGCTGCTGAAAAACAACAAGACCCAGATACAAATATTTGTTTATATTAGAGCTGAACATAACTTGCACTTCACATTCACTTTACATGGCACTATTTTGCATGCATGTTTTTCTCTAGTAGTTGAAAAATTGCAGTGGGGATTGGGGGATACCTCCAAGGTAAGGAAACATCACTGTTTGTATGGCTGCCTTGTAAACATCTTTTTCTATAGATATCTGCTGTACACAGATTTAGATATAGATACATTCACATGTATAATTGGGGGTATAGACACTTGGTTAACTTGAAAGCTCCAAAGTGTCATCTGTCACATTTATGGTAGGAACTTTAACTGCCTTAAATATTTAGCCTTTTCCAAAGTGACTTTTTTCTTTTCTCTCTACAAAAAAAAAAAGAAAAAAAAAAAAAAAACAAAAAAAAGAAAAAATAAAAGGAAAAGGAAAAGGAAAAAAAGGAAAAAAAAAAAGAAAATGTACTTCATGAAACTATTGTATATGAAGCACTTATTAGCCGTAATTAAATGGACAATATGAATTTACTACGTCTTTAGGACTCTGGCTTGTTCTGGTTTAGAGCAAGATGATTAATGCAAATACATATTACTTGAGATAACCATTTAGCAGCTAATTTAGCCAAATTTATTACAGCAGTTAGAGGTTTTTCATTTTAGCAGACGGAGACAAGGACATGACAAAAGCAGGCGGTGACTGTGAAGGCACACTGCCCTCTAGTGCACGAAACTTTGTGGGAATACTGAGGAATGCAGGGAGGAAAAGGGATCCAGCAACAGCCCTGCCTAGATTTTGTGTAGTTTACGGGTTTTATGAAACCGTTCTGCTACCTTCCACTGAAAGCTTTGCCTTTCATTCCCTTCTCCTGACATGGAAGAATCAGATACAAAACAAATCCGTTTCAAACTTGGCAATATTTTGGCTGAAGTATTACTTTAAACATCTGCATTTTTAAGCCGTCACTGTGAGCATCTAACAGCGCCGTTTCACATTACTGATTGCTTTTACTTCTTTCTGTTTCCTAGCATATTTCAAGCATCTGAGAGAGCTGTCACTCTTTGGCTCTAACCAAGCCATTCTGTGCCTCCCCTAGGCCTCTTTCTCAGCCTGCTGGTGGATTTACTTTGCTCTGGTAGAAAGTAAATTCTCCAAAGACTTTCCCCCCACTGACCAGTGGAGATTTGGTTCATCTGAGAACTGTAAATTCTGTTTGACAAGATCAAAGAAACAGATGTATAAGTTCAGTGGTTGATATTGCCTGCAATGAGGAGAAATGATCAAAGCAGCAGGGGTAGAGTATCTTCCCAAACCTTTCAAATATCCAGAATCTCAAAGAGGTCTACCTAGGAGCTATGAATAAATCACATATAAATTTGCCTCTTTTTTCCCTTTTCTTTTTTTACAGTTTGACATTGAGTGCATTGGAAATGTCCACACAGCAATAAGTATTCTGAGAACCATAGAGATTTGTAGGTTTTTTTTGCTTTTCTTCTTCCACTGGAGTTTCCAAAAGTAGATTAAAATAGTACTTTAAAACTTGTAAAATGCTAGTTATACTGAACTTCAGATCCTGTTTATCATCTCACTGGCATTAAATCCAAAAGAAGCCAAGCATCTTCTGCTTATACTTGTGTCACGTTGTACAATGAAGGTCATTTTACCACAATTCTAACATGTACTCTATCTTGCTTGTGTTTTGTTTGTGTTTTCCTGTCAGTGCTGAATAAGGGTCAGTGTGTAACAAAGTATTACCGCTGGATGCAGAAGAACGGAGGTTATATCTGGATACAATCTAGTGCAACCATAGCTGTCAACGCCAAGAACGCAAGTGAGAAGAATATAATTTGGGTCAATTACCTCCTTAGGTAGGTCTCCCAGTCACTTCTCTCGCTTCATCTGCTGTCTCTGTTGCTTGTCTCTGTCAGTGAGAGGTCTAGGGAAAAAACAACAGCCTACTAGAGAAAGTTAAGAAGAACTTTTCATATAGTCCTCGTCAAAAGCAGTGCCATTTTGTTATAGTTATTGAGGCATCTGTCGTATCTCTGTGCATGAGAATATTCTTGAATTATTATGCTCCCTCGGTCTTGAAATAAACCCTCCACTATTTTATTGCATGCCCTGAAATCTACTCAATCCAAGCTCAAAGATAAAAATTATCCACACCAACTTTCAGTAGCTGTGTTATAAAATCTGGTGTGAAGTGTTTGGCGCTGTTTTATTTGGATATTAAAATGCAGGGAAACAATCTGCTGGTATGGCAAAAAATGTTATCTCTGAAAGGGATTTGCCAGTTCACTCCAGAGAGAGGAACTTTCTCAGGACAAAAAAGGCTCAAACTACTTTGTTGTTCCTGTAAGCATCAGATAATATTCACACTGAAAAATGCAACATAGGATTTAAAAATAAAAGTACTATAAACTACTATTTCAAGCTATTAGAACTATTTTAAATAGAAATAGTAGTAATGGCTTGAATGAAAGGCTGTTCCCTGAGAAATTCTTTTACCAAAGTATTTTTAAAGGACTGGTTTCGGAGCTCAAGGGAAAACCAACAGTCACTGAGAGACAGTGAATTATAAACCTGACCTTTCTCATCTGAAAATACCTTTCAACACATTCTGTTTTGTGAAAATATTCAATAAGATTGGGAGATTTTCTGTTTCATTCCAAAGCAGAACAAACAAACAAATAAAATTTGAAACCTTGAGATTGTCATGAAATGCAATTGTCATTTTCTGGCCTGTTCTCCTTTTAAGTTGCTTGTCATGGTTTGTTACATTCCCTTTGATGCCATGAGAGTTCAAAGTGATGTCTAGGGGTTAGATTGTGACTTATTATGCCAAGTCCAGCAAGCCCTGAAGAGACTGTGCCTGCCTAAACTTGCATGTTGAAATGCTTTTGATTCCCCTTTTGGGGAAGAGAAGGAAGCAACCCCTGGCAGGAGAGCATTGAAAGGGTACTGAGGGAAACCTTGCACGGCAGTGGAGTTTTCACTGGGAATTGCAATTTTTTGGCCTGATATGATTGAGCACAGACTTTTCTGAATATATCCTTATCCTGATACTTTTTTGTCTGTTCTTCGCAAGTGTGAGGCAGAATGCAGCATTTCAGGAGGTCAGCTTAAGGCTGACAATTCTGAACTGGAAGTACAGCTTCACTGCCCCAGTTCTTAACAGGGCTGCAAAATGCCCAGAAGTGTTCTCATATTTCCAGCTCTAGCTGTAAAAGTCATACATAAGAATTATGAACAGCTGCTTCTGTCCCCTTTTCTGCTTTCCAGACAATAGGTGAACCTTGTCCACAAACATGCCACAATACAATTTTTCTCTGCAAGCAGAATATACCTAACCAAAAAAAAAAAAAAAAAGGCAAAAGCGAAAAAAAAAAAGCAGTGTGGTCTTCCCCAGGTCCCCTCCCAGAACCTGATTTTTCTAGTGTATTCCATACACCAGTCTGTTAGAGAAATATTAGCATCTTCACTGAATTTGTATTTTTAATTTAGATTTCTCCTTGTACTGGAATTCACAAAAGATCCAAAAGTCCAAATAATATTTTAATAACAGATTAAGGCATAATTAGGTCTACTCTTAGCAGAAGTACTGGTCTGTATACATTTCCATGCATTAGAAAGTATGATTCAGCTGTCTATAAAAGGATAGACTAATTATAGTGACAGGGAGGATTAATGCTGCTCTTGTTCTAGCAACTTGTTATTCAAAGTGTGAAAGCCCTCAAACATCTTTTGCTTGGAGGGGGCAAATTTGAGGACTGCCCTGGGATGCAACAGAATAAAGTCACTTTGTCAGGACAAAGCCATAAAGATGATTATCTTAACATGGCATTTCATGTGAGCTGTGTGAGCTCTGAGTTTTCACAGTACACTCTGAGAGGCTGAATATGAGCATACTGTCATTGTGATAGTGCATCAGGCACCCCCAGTGCTGCCTCACATTGTTCTGTGCAGGACTATGGATTTTCCATTTTACCAAAATTGAATTTGAACTGCATGGAAATGCTCACCCATTCAAAAATTATTAAAGACTTTGTTATCTTTAATATTCTCTACCACTTATGTTTAGCTATGTCTGTTCCTCTGCACTTGCATGCACCTAAGAAAGGAACACATTTTAAAAGGTACAAACCAAGCAAAAGCATGGTATTGTAGGGGTTTTCTTCCATCTCTCTGGCAGTGTAGCTTTTTTAGATTGCAGTCATGTTCCTTGCTAACAAGTCACAGGTGAGCACCACATGAGCAGATGAAGATATGATTATAATGGGTGTGTTGACAGTTCTTTATCCCTAACATATGCATCTTAACATGCACATGTGCATCTGTCACATAGTTAGAGAGGTTGGTTTTGGTTTCTTGCTGATGTGGATGTATGTGTGCAGTGTTTAAAAATATGTAACCTATTTTATCTAATTTTTGGCCAGATTCTTTGGAACACTGGTCACTTCTTTAGCCCTTGCTGAGCACCTTCTTAATAACTTCATGTATGACATGCTTGATTAAAATGTGGAAAACTGGAATGTTGAGAAAAACATTGAAAGGACTCTGGCACGGCTGATAGAGAACATTTCTACAGAGATAACTCTAATAGACATAGCCAGTGAGAGAAACAGATTGGAAGAGTTGAAACACTCTCTCTGTCCTCCCAGGCACAGTAATGGGATTGAAACGGAGATATTTTGTTGTTGGATGATTACACAGTGTAGCTTTACTGCTAGATATCACACAAGCCATGATGTCCCACTTCAGCAAGGATGCTTTTATAGCTCTAAAACTTCGCTAGAATCAAACAAGGTTTAGTACCTAGTCAATAAAAGTATTTGACTGCAGTATTAAAATAAACCTTCACAAAATTCCTGCTGTGAAGCTCTGAAGACAAAAATATGTGTTTCTGTGTTTATTCTGCTATTCTTCCTGTTCTTTGTTCCTGAACTTTGATATGAAAAAAAGGAAAAAAATCATGAAACTCCAAATCATCCTATTGTGTTTGTATTTGCTGTATCCTCTTCAGTAATCCAGAGTACAAGGACACTCCAATGGATATTGCACAACTTCCCCATCTGCCAGAGAAAACCTCAGAATCCTCAGAGACCTCTGACTCTGAATCAGACTCAAAGGACAACTCAGGTAACACACATGGTGTGCCTTTACACCCACAAGAGTCTCGTATCATGAAAGCCACACGGTCAGTTTTTCAGTTGCTTTTACTTCTGAAGTATTGTTCCATTAAAACAAAAAAAATCATATAAAATTAAATTGAAAAACACTAGCAAAATCTTTTAATCACCTTAGCATTTCCATTTCCTCAGAATTTCTCTTCACTTTCTTCATGCATTCTTGCCTACATAGCACCAAACTAAATATTTGATTTCCCAGCTGTGCTTAATGTATTGTGCTTCGTGCAGGGGACTTGGGATTGCAACTGTTGGATAAAATTCAAGCTCTTCTCTTTCCAAAGTAGGCAGGCATTCTACTGAGAGGTCTCTGCTGTGAATCTTTATTCAATCTCTTTTCCCTGTATAAATACATTTTTGAAGACTCTCACTAGGGGGCAGTAAAGATTGAAAAATTTGATAGTTTTCTTGGGTTAAAAGTTATATTTAATTAAAATGTGTGGGTTCAAGAACTTGTTTCTAAGCTCTTTAAGTCTGGGACTTCAGCTGTTTTTTAAAAGCTGAGTGTACGCCTCAAGTTCTATGTGTAAATTAGTCCTACAGATGGTCCAGTGCACAGATGGTTCACACATTCCCTGTTAGTTTTAACAGTGGCTACCTAGGCATAGGTGCAAATCATCTGGCCTTGAAAGAAGTGTGTTTTTCCTGTAGCCCAAGAAGTAAAGATTTTACTCAGCTGTTCTATGTAGGATGGATGGATGGATAGATAGATTATTTTTCTCTCATGTCTATAATAACTACCAAAAACACTCTAGAGAAAATGGATCACTGTGATATAAATCAAGAAAAAGGGAGAAGAGGATCAGGGTATGATATTATATTATATTATATTAAATTTATTATATGGCTGTTCTCTTTCATCTTTTGATTTTATATGTTCTCCTTTGACAGCTTGGTTAAAGTCAATGTTCAGGCTTACTGACCACTGTCATTGCGAATTTCTTCATCCATTCCCAGTGCTTCCTTTATGCTGTCTTGTTCCTAAATAGCCAAATAACACATATGTGGAGAAAACAGTTTGCATTTCCCACATGCACTGGAAGTTTCTCCAGGTGAGCACATGAGAAATACATGTACATTCATGATTTCTAAAGCTTATGCAGAGCAAGACAGCATTCCAAAGGTGCACAGATATTTACATCTCTGAAGGAGATATCTGGGAGTCTTGGAAGACAGATGACACAGGGGCTTGTTTACTACAAAGGAATTAAACAGAAATGCCAAAGGACCTGAATTTGGAACAGTATTTTAGATGAAACCAACAAGTTCAGTTCAAGCTGTGATATAATCTCAGGCAAATATTGTGTAGCTTTAGACTGCCTCACTCTAAGACCACTCTTCCCCAGCTAGAAACCACGGCCTTAAAAGAAGGCATCTTCAAATAAAGGAAGAAAAAATTGTAGGACAAATTCAGTCCTAGGTGGAACAAAAAGCTGGATGAGACTTGGGGGTTTACAGCTGCTACTTTTTTCCTATAGATTTTATTTTTCGAAAGGAAGGGTCTCTCTGCTGCTGCTCACACAAGCGAAAGTCCCACTGACTTGCAAAGTGCAGTGTCCTGAATGCTCAGGCAGCTTTCCTGTCAAACCCACCTTCAGCACTTCTGGGAAATAGTTTGGCATTGACATGGCTCCAGAAGTAACCAATATCTTTAGAGGCAAACCAATCCTACCCCTCTCCACCTAAAGCAAGGATATTGAAAAGAGTAGTACTTGGCTCTGATGAGTGAAAAACATCTTTTATTAGGCAACAAAAGATTTCTGGCTGGTCTGTAAAGGACGGGGTTTCCTGAAACCTTTTTTGACCCTTTCAAACATAGTGTGATAATGGAGCATATTCAGTCTCAAAGCTGCTTTGGCTCTCCGAGTCCAGTGGGCTACAGTGTTTATCTCACCCGTATTAGAATTATAATTAAATGAATTCAGGCAAGAAGAGTGACAGCTTCTCAGTGCTGTAGCTGTGCTATTTTCAATGGTCTTTAGATGGCTTGGATCAATCGAGAATTTCATTCATTGGCTGATTATTTTTTCTGTATTTTTTAACTTGTTTTCCTTCAGGAGAATATAAGAAGACAGTCTAGCAACATAGCAAAATTGTTCTAACCATAAACTGGTTTATTCGCTCATTTTAACTGGTTTATTCATTCATTCAGATTTATACACAAGTTGGTCCTCCTCTCTCACGGGAGGAAATCAGCAGTAATTCCACTGCAGCCAGAGACTCTATGCCACTTCAAAAGCAGCAATAGTCAGAAGAAAAAGAGATGAGAGTACTAGAATCTTCATTAGTGAATAGGGCTATATGTGGGTGCCTGCCCACTGCAGGAGAACATGGTTGTGGAAGAACAATCACCAGAACTTTATGGTGATAATGGGATTGTTCACTGACTCCTCTTTGGATGACACAGCTACACTGCTGTTGTGCTCACAGCTGTGAGCACATCATCATCATCATCATCATGTGAGCACAAGAATCGTCATGATTCTTGTCCAGTGAGCAGATGAAAAGGCCCCCTCAATCAAGGTGCAGCCATATAGCATAGGCTTCTAGTGCATTAACAGTCCTGAGGCAGAGACATTCATGGTGATCAAAACTCTCACAACACAATACTGGGGAAAAAAAAAACCACACAGCTTTACAGAAGAGAAGGTCTTTTGCCAAAAAAATGTTAAAGCAAATCCAATCTCATTGGTAGGTAGAAATCTGAATTGGATTATAATATTATGATCCTGTTGCTAATGCTCTGTTTCACTTTTATTTTGCTCCAGAGGACAATGAGAACTCAAAGTCAGATGAGAAAGGAAACCAGTCAGAAAACAGTGAAGACCCTGAATCCGACAGGAAAAAGTCAGGAAATCAGTCAGATAATGAAATGAACTGTAATGAGGATGGGAACAGCTCCAGCAACCAGGACAGCAGGGACAGTGATGACAGCTTTGAAAACTCAGACTTCGAGAATCAGAAGGCCCCTGAGGACAGTTTTGGCACTCTTGGCTCTATGCAGATCAAGGTGGAGCGCTATGTTGAGAGTGAGTCAGACTTGCGGTTGCAGAACTGTGAATCACTGACCTCTGACAGTGCCAAGGACTCAGACAGTGCAGGTGAAGTAAATGCCCAGTCTTCCAGCAAACATCAGAAGAGGAAGAAGAGGAGAAAAAAGCAAAAGGGAGGCAGCATGACCCGGAGAAGGCTGTCAAGTACCTCAAGTCCAAATGGACTTGACTCAGCTTTGGTGGACCAGCCCCAGCTGCTCTCGTCACCAAACAGTGCCTCAGTGCTCAAAATTAAAACAGAAATCTCAGAACCTATCAATTTTGATAATGATAGCAGTATTTGGAATTACCCACCCAACAGGGAAATCTCAAGGAATGAATCGCCCTACAGTATGACCAAGCCCCCCAGCTCCGAGCACTTCCCTTCCCCCCAAGCCAGCAGTAGTTTACATGTCTCCATTCCAGACTCTGTTCTCACCCCCCCAGGGACTGAAAATACTGCCAGCCGTAAAACTCAGTTCAGCACCTCATCCAACTCGGCCTTGGCTCCAGTGTCCTCTGACCCTTTGTCACCCCCACTTTCAGCATCTCCAAGGGACAAACATCCAGGAGGTCCCACAGCGTCCAACTCTTTGTTGTACACTGGGGATCTGGAAGCCCTTCAGAGGTTACAAGCAGGCAATGTGGTGCTTCCTTTGGTTCACAGGGTAACAGGAACCCTTGCTGCGACCAGCACTGCTGCTCAGAGGGTCTACACCACTGGCACTATTCGGTATGCTCCAGCTGAAGTTACTTTAGCCATGCAGGGCAACCTCCTCCCCAACACCCACGCTGTTAACTTTGTTGATGTTAACAGCCCCAGCTTTGGGCTGGATCCTAAAACGCCGATGGAAATGCTCTACCACCACGTTCACCGACTCAACATGTCGGGACCGTTTGGAAGTGCTGTGAGCGGGGCCAGTCTGACCCAAATGCCTGCAGGGAATGTGTTCACAACTGCCGAAGGACTTTTTTCCACTCTTCCATTTCCTGTGTACAGCAATGGCATTCACACTACACAGACTCTGGAACGGAAGGAGGATTGAAATATGACCACATACTGTGTTCAGTGTTATACTCTGAGGCATAGACTATGTTTTAATTTAGACCTTTAATTCTAGCACTTTGAATTTGAGCAGGTCAGCTTATTATCTCAATATGATGGTCCCCATTTCATTCCCTTTCTCTTTAACTTGACTTATTCTTTAATGTAAAGATATTTTTTTATTTTTGCCTTCAGAGAGTCGAAGTACCAGTTGCCTGCCATTTTGTCTTCTTCTAAGATGTGTGTTTTTTCCTTTGCATCTTTATTAAGATGCCTTTAATATGTGTATGCCTCTGCCATAGAATACTCAGTGTTGTGGTAAAGAGATTTTAAAGTGACAACCATTGGTTTTACTTCAAAATGATCTTGATATGATCAAGATTAAAAGAGACAAGCATAAACAATGTGCCCTGTTTGACTAAGTCAAATGAAAAGGGGGTTTTGTTCCTAATTCCTTTAAAATAGGGGATAGTATTTTAGAATTTTATGCAGAGTTTAATTCTCTTTTTATGGTTAAGATTTTCTTACTTGCACATAAAATAATTTGGGTTCTTAAAAAGTTAATTTCTGGCCTGTGACTAGAATGTTAAAAAGTTGGACTAAATGTTAATTACAGAAACTTTAACTTAATTTCTAAAACCATGGTGCTATCATTTATTAATCTGTAATGTCTTCATACAATATGCAGCTTGTGGGCTGGGTTTTTTGGAAAGAATGTGTTCCGTACTGGTTTATAGTGGGGTGCTGCAGTCTCCTTGGTTAGTTAAGACAAAGCCCTCATTAACATTTGCTGCAGGACTTAAAATTTGTTACCTCCAAACTAACAAGCATAGCCTCACATCAAATTTAAATGGGTCAGGAAGCCTTTTTCAAAAAGAGCTTAAAAACAAAAAACTCAATTTAATTGACGCGAGGAGCAGTTTCTTAGGTGCATATTGTTTTGCTTTATTTTTTTTCTCAGTGTAACTGAGGCTAATTTTGCAACATCAAATAACACTTCAGAGTAAAAAGAAAAAACAGAAGAACTATTTAACATGTTTTATTTTGTTTTTCATTTAATATTATAGAGGAAAGGTTGTAAATTTCTTTTTGTTCTTTGATTTGGGTATTTTTTGTTGTTTTCTTTTTCCTTATTTCTAGTGTTGAAACCAATATGTTTTAAAACTAAAGGATGGGTTAATAAGCTTGAAATAGATAACTACAACTGAAAACTGCACATTAAGTAAAAGAAAAGAAATCTCCTATTTTGTCTTTGTTGCCAGAAATCACAGTGTAGTGTCAAACACTCCAAATGACTGTCAAATATAAATTCTTCTTCCACTCCATCTTTGGCAGCTGTTTGTTAAGGCATCTAATAACAGATGTGAGAACTGTAATGTGTACAATGTGTAAGTGTCCTTGGCTGTCAGTCCCATTGCAGTTTCAATGTGTGTTACTATATGCAGTATATACTAAGCTAATGTAGTTGTTTTGTCCTTTGTCTTCTCTGTGCTTTATCTCTAGTCCGGAGTGGTAAAGTCCCATTCCTGCAGTCCTAGTGAACCAGTGATTCTTGGGGGTTAGTGGTTTTTGTGTGGTGGCCTTCCTCTGTAATGTCACCTTATGCTGCTTCCACTGTCTGTATACCTTTTAATTTCTGCTGTTGCTTTGCTGTTGTGTATTCTCAAACCTCTCTCTCCCCCTTCCTTTCTCCCCTCCTCCTCCACACGTTTCCCGTCTCTCTTTCTCTCGCTCTCTCGTTCTCTCTTCTTCACTCTCAGAGATAAAAGACTCTTAACTAGCTCAAGGTTAATGGAGCCATTTTTCCCACAGAGGAATTCTGGGTATGACTTACTCTTCCAGTGTACCCCACAATGCACTACAGAGTAATGCTCAGATATATTAAGCAAATTGACGCCATATAGCCTCAGTTGTTAACATTCCCAGAGTCCTTGTGCTCGAACTGTAAGCAGAGGGTGCATTTCTTTGCTTTTCTCCTAGGTAGGCTGGCAGAGCAATATGTAGAGCAATTACCAGTGAGATAGGAAATTCCAAAAAAGGTCAGCTGGCATTGTTTAAAAAGGAAACCGAGCTTAGAATTGTCATATATATTCACTTACGTGTGCAATGCTAATGCATTAACTCAACTGTCCGAATTTTTTGATTGCTCACTGCGTTGAGTCAATTTCTACGGTAGCTTTGAATTTGAGAAGTAGGTCCAAGCCACAGAGGAGTGATAGCAAAAAAGGAATTGGATGCTAGAAATTTAATTAATGAGCTTTTAAAGGTTCCATGGGAAGGATTTATGTAGGTCTGAAAAAGGCAAGAAAGCTGATTGGGAAATTCAAAGTTTAATTTTGGAAGCTCTGCTCTAGCTATGGAACAATCAAAGGACTGCACCTATCAGCTACAAAAAACAGCTAGACAGCTGTTGTTGTTTTGGGTTTTTTTTATAAATGTTTCTGTGTTGTGTCAAAATGATTTCTGGTGATTTAAACTAACAGATAATCACAGCTGCTGTCTAAATCCATAGTGTTTAAAATTACAAAATGAAAAAAAAACTTCATTACCTGTGAAGACTGTGTCTGTGTTTTTAACTATTTCTTGTACAAATATATGAAATCTTTTATGAGGAGACTGGTGCCAAGTAGCTGAATAATGGGGAAAGGGATTCTGTTCGTATAAATCTTAGCAGTGTTACCAACTCTACAATATAAAAAAATTAAAATGTTAAAAAGTGACAGCTATGGTACATTTATTTTGTGTTAAGCTAACCGAATCTAACTTCTTGAGTGCCTGGCTTATTTGAAACATTTTTTTCATTGATCATTGATAATGCTGCAAATCAGAAATGTACATACTTCATTTACAACAGGGTTCTTTTTATACTTTTGTAGATTCTCATACATGTCATACATGGTTGTCTTTATGTAACTTAATTTTTTTTCATCCCGCAGGTGCCATTTTCATAATAAACTTCTCTTGGATTTGTTACTATCTGGCATAATTTCTTTTACATATAACCATCCTGACTAATGAATGCTGGTAGTATTTGTTTGAGCAGGTATTTTTTAATCATTTTGTAAAAAAAAAAAAAAAAAAAAAAAAAAAAAAAAAAAAAGAAAGAAAGAAAAAAGAAAGAAAAAAGAAAAAGAAAAAAATAAAATAACCAAAATACAAGAAAAAAATAATCAAAAATGAAAGAGGAAAAAGCAAGATTTTATTAACACTTGTGAAATGAAGAAAGGAAGCTGTCAAGATGTAGGTTAAGAATGCTAATCCAAATACTACAACAAACTTGCCACCATTCTAAATTCTCAGCTACCCCAACTCATTGTCATATTGAGCATTTTTATGCACATTATCAAAGCTGAATAATGTACCTGCAACATTAACCACTATAGAAAGTGTGCATTTTTTTCCTTGATTAATGCACACTGGAAGAGGTCAGCTTTTGTACATTAATCATTTAAAATGCACTTTATATTTTCATTTTTGTAGTCTACAGTGTTACAGTGAAACTCTCCAGTCACATTATATCCTACCTAGGCTGCTGATTCTTTTAAATGTGTACCTTCTTTCCCCAGAGTGTCGACCTGTAAGTAGCTGATGTCATGCTGATAGACATTCTGCCTTACCAACTGAGGACAGAAACATTTGCTAGTGCAGAACTGACAAGGCAAAAAGCCTTGGTCCCACAAATGAAAGGGGGGAAAAAAGTCAAATACACTTTTGATTACACAGAAACCCACACACAGTGGCTGGCCTTAAAAAGGGAGCAACCTTGCATAAATTCTGGATAAAAAAAAGGCTGGGGTTGGGACAGGGGAGTGGAAGCCTTCTCACCCACTGCAGTTCTGCATTCATTGCCTTTCTTTAAAGTGCCTCTCCCACCTGTGACAGATATTTCCAAACTCCATATTTTATTTTGTTATGCAGAGTATGCAATCCCTAAGAATGCAAATTTGGCAATAGCCAAAATCTCTAAGCAGCTTTGAGTGCCTAATCTCCTCTCTTCTGTATGTCCACTTAGAAATTCATGCTGCTGGGCTAGTCATTCTGGGTCAAATTCTGCTTGCCTTATAAATGCTGAATAAAACTGTCTATTCACAGTTTGCAGCACAACCTCTTACCGTGAAACATACACTCAGCTGAAGTAAGAGCATGTGAATCTGTCTTTCTGGGCTGATTAAAAAAAAAAAAAGTGTGTACAATTAGAGCTTAGTGAGCCAGCCCAGTACCTTAATAGATTGAAGTCTGGCTCTTTCAGCTTCCAAGCAGTTCAGGATGCCCACTTCCCAGGCTCCAGGCATTGAGTTTGATAGAACTCCAAGTTGCAGGGGGTAGGGAGAAGCAGAGGTTAGCAGTGCTGCTTTGAGCTCTGCTTGCATGTTCCAGTTGGCAATGCATCTTGTTTATGAGGTAGCTAAGGGTGCCAGTGCCAACCGAGAGGAAAACAGAATTTAAATGCAGATTGAAAGAATGACCAGAATAAAGCTTAATGGAAGAATAACATGCTTGTTCCAAATAAGTGTTAAGCAGTATGACTAAAGCCACTAATTCCATGAAGGGGCTGGTGAGGGGCATTTCTGAGCAATTATAAGGGGTTTTTATATCTCATCCATACTGCCTACACATGCATCAGAGCATGGAGTTGATGGTCAAACTTAATAGACTGCTCTACGATTTGCAGTTGAATGAGGAAGTTTGTGTATTAAAGAAAATTATGGAAAGGCCCTTTCATGGAGGGGTTTTCATAGTGATGCTGTTGCACTCATCTATCTCTGTTATCTGCAGCAACTTTAATAAACAAAATCAACTGCTTGAAAGTGTTAAGCCCTTTGAAAAGGGTTCTTTGGGGTAGGCCTAGCTGCTATCTTTGTAATATTTGAGGAAAAACTCTGCCATGCAGGAAGTTGGGAAAACTTTCTCAAGTCATCTCATCAAAGAACATTTCCCAAAACAACTGATGTCAGTAACTGCCATCTCTAGAAAATTTGTTTCTGACCCACTTGTTTTGCAAAGTGGAGTATGCAGATACTTAAAAGCTAGCTGAAGGATTGCAAGAGGAAAAGGGCTCTTTCCAAGCCTCGTGACTCTGAGAAGTTACAGTGAAAGAAAAATATTTCAGGAGTACTTAAATAATCAGCTCTGACAGCTTGCACTGGTGCTTTTGCACAGTGGTTGTGTCACTGGAGTCACTGCGATGCCCCTGACAGCACATTTATTGTTATGATTCTAGGAAATGCATTAGTTTAAATGTGTCAGTGCTCTCAGAGTTATTTGCATAGTATTTTCCCTTCTTACCATTGTAATTTCTTTATTTTCATTTTAGGGCAGGGGGAGGAGGGTGGAAAGACTGGATATGCATTGTCAACTAATTTAATGAACTGTCATCTATCCAGTGAGTTTACTGAAGAGCCTACAGAAATGTTAACAAATGGGATGTCACCAGAGCCACAGATGCTCAGGTAAGATCAAACCCTTTATAAAACATGCACATGCATGCACACAGGGTGGTACCTATGTATATATGCATAATAAAGGTCCTTTCTTCCTCTCTCACCTATTCTTTCATCTTTTCGTAAGTGAGAATTGGAAGCTATTTTCATAAAACCTATCAAATCACAACCACATTTTTTCAGCAAATCATAGAATCATAGAGTGGTTTTGGTTGGAAGAAACCTTAAGGATCATTTAATTCCAACCCCCTCCAGCTGCCCCCCAATGGGCAGGGATGCCACCCACTAGGTCAGGTTGCTTAAGGCCCCATCCAAGCCAGCCTTGAGCACTTCAAGGGATGGTGATGCCTGGGTTGTCCACAACTTCTTTGAGCAACCTGTTCCAGTGATTCACCACTCTCTGAGTAAAGGATTTCTTCCTAGCATCTAATCTAAACCTGCCCTCTTTCTTTTTAAAACCATTGTCCTTTGTCCTGTCACTATTTGTCTGTATAAAAAAGTCCTTCTTCCTCCTTTTTTATAAACCCCCTTATGGTACTGGAAGGCTGCTAGGAGGTCTCCCTGAAGCT